GCGTCGCCGCAGCGATGCCGCTCCGTAGTTCTGAAAAATTTGAACGATATGCTACACGGGCGTTACGGGCGCGTTGCAGCACCCCAACACAATGTCAACCCCCGTGTGGCATGTCGTTTAGAATTATGCATTGTAGAAACTACGGTGAGGTACCGCTGCGACGCCGCTGCGGCAACGCCGTGTGGCATCTCTCTAAGGCTACTAGACGTCGATGGTTACACACGTAATAAGAGCAGAAGATATGAAGAATAGCCAACCAAGCGACTGACATTTCCGATACCGGTGTCGATCTGATCTACTTAATAGGTAAGATTAAGTTATTAAGGATGAATAACTTACTTATATGTTAATTACATGTTCGGAATTATCAGAGTTAGGGGGAATTAGTATACATTTAGGTAATTTATAATTTGCTTCTATAAAAAGTGATCTAATTAGTATTTAATAAAAAATATCCTCTCTTATAGTTTACCTGAACCTCTTTGTGCGCAAACCACTGCCAGCACAGCGAACAAAACAATCTGTAAATTTAAAATATACGTCTACAGGAACCATGGTGGTTGGTTTTATGAACTAAAGTAAAAAAAAAAAGTAAAAAAGTATTTATTACTAAAAAAAATGACACATTGTAGTTACAAATTATTCTGGTGGTCTCTGCACTAAGCAGGAAAATCGCAGCGGCCAATACGAACAATTACCTTAAAATTAACTTTAGTTAATTATTAAAATGACCGTGACTTCGTAGTTTATATTCAGGCCTCTATATTCTTAAGTCACTTACAGCAAATACTTTACAAAAACACTCGTTATGCAAATGGCAGAAGAATAACGCTAACACTTTTTACACTTAATAACAATGCATGCAGTTATGCTGGCGATAATAATCAATTTATTCTAACAATAGTAACAGCATAATCACTTCCCTCGATTTAACAAACGATTGTTCACTTACCAAAGCGGCCTTCATAGCTGAATTTTTAGTGATTTAGGCAAGTCTATGTTGATTCTACAAAAATCGGTTGTCAACTAGTCTCAAAAATTCAGATGGGGCCATTTTATATGAATCTGTGTTCGATACACTCGCCATCTGCTCGTGTAAATAGCCATAAGTCGGTGTTATGTACACAAGTAATTGAATTGTTTTGTGAAGACGAGATTTTCCTGTTAAAATTCTGGTAATCTCAAGTGTTTGTAAACATTTATTGACAAGATTTAATTGATAAGGTTCACATGTGTACTTATTGCGTGTCGTCTGTTTGTCTAGACTGCAATATTGTAAACAAAACAATGGTTTTTGTTATTATTATCGTTAAGTGCAAGAATAAAATATAACGTAACTTTATTGTTAATTTGAAAAGACACAGAATGTTAGAAATATGTATTTTGTTAAACTTTTAGGAAAACTTTAATTTTACGGGAAAATAAATAAGTCTCAAATGAATTCAAGAGATTTATTTTTTAATGCTTTTTAACATCAAGAGCGTGAGAAATTCAACAAATGGTCAGTTGTTAAGTTGTTATCATCTGCGAGCAGGGGGACGTCCATTCTCGTCGGGTTTACTTGCTGTTACGAAGGTTTGGGTCTGAAACAACATAAAAATATTTCAAATGGCTGAAATACTTTGAAAATTCTAAAAACTGGACAGCTATAACTGGCACTTGATCGAATCTTCAGTACCACGAGCACGAATGAATATCGTTCTAACAGCGTCGATCATCGGTCGATTAAAAAGGAATGCGACCTACTGAATGGTCATTTATACAAGTGTTATTCGTGCTCAGGTACCCCGAATATCAAATTACACATGTTTTTATTTTATTATAATAAATAGCTCAAAATTACATTTCAAATGCGTATCTACAGTGTCGCAGTATTTAGATACGAGTAGATGTCAGGTGACTGAGTAGTTTTTCCGCCACTCCTTCTCCAGGACCGCGGCACCGGTTCATAATAATAACATGTTGTACAGAAGTGGTGGTAAGGCAAGCTATTTGGGACGAGTATACAGGGTGTGGTTTTGTAAAACAACGCCCATCTCAGGGGTGGTAGTACCTACACTTGAAAGTAATTACAAGAAAAATATAAATAAAATTTTAGCTAAGTATACTTTATTAGTATACAACCTTGTTCAAACATCTCCTAAAACTTTCGAGACGGCGCTTGTTACCGCCCGCACCACCCCCGCGTACCCCGCTACATCACCGAGCACATGCGGCCGCCGCCCCGTGAGATCGGGGGGACTGACTGATAGCTCGCCCGCGTAATAATACTTACCATTTTCCTGATTTCATGGAATTTTCCGTCGTGTATACTACCACCCCTGAGATGGGCGTTGTTTTACAAAACCACACCCTGTATAAGCGCCCTGGAAATGGCCTAAGATTAAGTAGTATTTATAATGTATTATTGAGATAGGTTACATACTTTGGTTGTGGTGGTGGTACGGGTATGGTTCTTGACCTGGTTGGTTCACGAAGGTGGGGCCGAAGCCTGTAATATGTAAAAAATATGATTTTTTAGTTTTTTTTATTAAATAAAATTACTAGTTTATACTGATAATGAAGAACTTACTTGGTTGTTGGTACCCGCCATTGTTGGGAGCTGCAAGCAAATTTAGTACGGTTACTTAAGTAGTTAGTAAAATGTTTACTAAGTATACCAATTCATAGATAAGACAGCTTTTACCTATAAGTAGGTACCTATTTAGTTATATTATACTCACGGTTATCGTGGACACTGGGCCTTGAAAATGCGGGGTCAATTACTGTAAGAACATTAAATTAATATAAATATACAGAACAGCAACAGAAGATAAACAGAATAACTTGAATTTCAGTGCAGAAGAACTGCGCAACATTGGCACAAATGATAGATTTTAATAAAAGTATAAATAGGTAAGTACAGTAGTAACTTACCAAATGAAGAATCAGCAGGTGGATTATTGTCCACGAAGTTCACTGTAAAAAACAAAACAACCGTAAGTTTATTTAAGTAAATAAGCCCGCTTGTAATTAAGTTTTGGGACACACTGTTTAAGGAATTAGTAGGTACCTCTAGATAAGGTAAACTTCATAAATTAATAATAAGTATCTAACAGCCTTAGTAATAAAAAATAATATCCTTTAAGCCTAGGCGCAGACCACCGATTTTTAGTTGGCCGATTGTTGGACCCGATTCTAATTAGTATGAAGAATCGGCCGATACCAAATCAGTGTGATGTGCGTACTTACTTTCATACATCTCCGTACTGATTAACAGCCCGACCCAACTTATCGGCCGACTAAAAATCGGTGGTCTGCGGCTTCACAGGATTGCTGAACAGTCAGGCGCGGATCCACCGTTGTGGGCACTGTGGGCATGCCCACAACCCTAATTTGCTTGTTTTATTATGATCTATTGATAAGATCGATAGGCATGTATGTATGTCCGGCTTGTCCGGGCATGTAGTGATCCAACTCTCACTTTGCTCATTTTTGGTGGCTGGATCCGCGCCTGTGAACAGTTCTACAGCTAAACATAGGAAAAACAATCGCTAAAAGTAAGACACACTAACCTGAACTGCCGCTTTGTGCGCAGGCCAGTGCTAGCATAGCAGACAGAAAAACCTGAAATTGAAAGGATTCCATGAAAGTTTGGCTAAACCATATTATGAACTCATAGACTTTGTAGAGTAGGAATTGCTTTGTCTAATTATTAATCACTTCCTATACTTAATATAATAGTTTACTTACCAAAGCAGCTTTCATAGTTGGAAACGAATAACGATTTAGGCAAGTTTAATGTTTAATGTACAAAAATCGGTTGTTTACTAGTCTCATTATTCAGATGTCACCATTTATATTAATCTGAGTTTGATACACTCGCGACCTACATAAATGATTCAACGAGATTTTTCTGTTAAATATTCTAGGTAATTTTTAGTGATAAGGCTCACAAGTGTATAGAGAGTATTTAAATAATATTGTAGGGATTCCATTTAATATTTGGAAATAAAATTCGAACCCGTGACCCCATTCATTACAGTGCTGATATCAACGCTACCGCTTTATTTATAAACTTCTATACTTTCGCGACTTCGTACATGTGGACCCCGCTTTATCCCCTTAGGGGTGAAGTTTCGAGTTCTTTTTAGGGTTTCCCCAGAAATTATTCGAACTTTTCTCGCCGTTAAAACCATCCTTGGACTTCAACGAACATTAAAAAAAAGAATTGGTAAAATTGGTCCAGGCGTTGTAGAGTTATGCGCTTACCAACACATTTTGCGATTCATTTTTTTTTATATTATAGATAAATTCTTCCAAACTCTGTTTGCGATGAATTATGTAATTACAAGTAGATAATACACATAGCTCGCACACACATAGCACATTATAGCTCGTAGACATGCGTAGAGACGATGGCCGTTGGGGCAGAAAAGTTCTCGAGTGGCGACCACGGGCTGGAAGACGTAGCGTGGGCAGGCCTCCTACTAGGTGGACCGACGATCTGGTAAAGGTCACGGGAAGAGCCTGGATGTGGACAGCGCAGGACCGTGCATTGTGGAAAACCTTGGAGGAGGCCTTTGTCCAGCAATGGACGTCATTTGGCTGAAACGAAAGAACTAACGAAGTAAATAAGGCTTGTCTAGAAGGGGAAATCATTTGGCTGAAACGAACGAAGCCTTACCTTGGAGACCGCCATGCTTTTAGTAGGTACCTACTTATGGAGCGACGACAGCCTTTTGATAATGCCGATAGCAGGTTTGGTTGCATGGTGGGTGTGCTGTGCACTGCACACTGTGCATGGATACCTAAATAGTCATTGTATTCAGTCGCAGATTTTGTTTCATTTACAAAGTTTTAATCAGATAAAACCTGCCAAGATATGAGATTTAAAACCATCAAAGCTGTATCCGATTACACTGCATTATCGTTGTTTCGATTTTGTCAAGAAATATCTTGGAAGTTTAAATTAGGCACATTACTGAGCATGCCTTCTATTAATAAAGTAAACGCGTGATAAAAAAAAACAAAATGTCAAGATGACAACGTCAAAATTGTTGATAAACATTCACGAAGGACTTGAAATTCAGAAACATTTGGGAAAAGTGTATTTAGTATCAGGAAACTATGAATATTATCATTATTTATGCGATGGTTTTGATGACAGGGTACGTGTTTTTAAAATAGGTAGTCAGATGCGAATTTTAATTTCCCGTCATAACCTAAATTGGATTTGTAATTTGTGTATGTCATGTATTTAAAATGTTTCATTTTAATACACACATGTATTAAGTACACACAGTAAATAAATTAAATTAAGAAAGTAAATCAGCTAATTACATCCGAGAAGTTCTAACAGAGAGACCTTTTTTAACATGAAATAATAACCTAAAAACATATTTATTTCTGAAGGGTTGGGGCTGTGGATACAGAACACTCCAAACAATATGCTCATGGATAAACTTTAACTATAAAGAAAATGGTGAAGTGCCGTCCATTCACCAAATTCAAGAAATTCTGGTTGGGCTAGAGGATAAGCCGAAGTCATTTTTGAGATCCAGACAGTGGATTGGCAGTTTTGAAGTGAGTTTACTTCCGAAAAATACTATTTGCACACCTAGATAAATACTAGTACAATTTAAAATACAAACAATCTGATATTCACTATAACTTAATTTTGGATTATTTTATTTTGTGTTACAAGTAGCAGCACAAATCTCTGTAGTGCCGACCTATACGCTAAACTTACATGCTGCCACTTGTACTTCTATTAGGTGTGCGTATTTAAGCACCTATGAGCCTAAAAGTAGCTCAATCTTTCAAATGAATGCTTTTGAAACTAATTGGGTCTCATTTTTTCCTTTTCTAGGTATGTTTAGTAATAGACAAGCTATATGACATACCATGCAAAATAGTGCATGTAAACAAAGGCGAAGATTTAAAAACCATAGTGAATACTTTAGTGACCCACTTTGAACAATTTGGCAGCCCGATCATGATGGGCGGAGACATTGATTGCTCCTCCAAAGGCATCATGGGAATATATGTCAATCAACAAGGTGATGCCAGTTTATTGGTAGTGGTAAGTATCAAATACATATCTATCTTACCACCTTTTTATATCTTGGATTAGTCTAACCAATCTATCCACAATTTATAAAAATGGTTTTATTCTAAAGTTTGAGTAAATAGAATTATTGATTATGTTAGCCAGCCATGGGATAGTTTTTTAAATCCATTTTGTTGTTCCAGGATCCTCACTATGTGGGTAAAGAACAGTCAAATCAGTTCTTACAAAGCAAAGGCTGGGTTAAATGGCAGCCACTAAAAGATTTTTTGAGTTCATCCTTTTACAACCTATGTTTACCTCAAGTAAAATCTAAAAATAAAATTGATTGATTGTTAGGTATAATATGTGTGTTATGAAATTAAAGAAATATATTTTTACAAATCAGCCTTTATTTTATTACTATTTAAATGTAATAAATCTAATAATACTGAATAAAATTAAAAATAGTTCAATTTCAGGTACATTACTTAGTCATTGCACACAAGCTTTATGTTATAGCATTAATGGTATAACTATAGACTAGTTAAAAACATTGATCTTGTGTACTTATTTATATGTAGTATTGCAATCAAACATTGTTTGCATTCAAAAACTATTAGAATAAGATCCATTCATGCTTGAATATGATCCATTCATGCTTTGGAAGTAAACTATATGTAATCAGTCAGTGTTCATGATGAGGCAGACTCCCTGAAGCACCCAGTGGCTGTAGTGCTCCGTGGTCCAGAGGTCCGACTCGAACACCAGTCCGACGCCCATCGCGTTGCGGCGTTGCGACGTCGTGTATACCGGCGTCCGTAGGGTGTTCTAAAGAACAGACAATATGATTGATTTGATGCGTACAAGAGCAGCCCCAGTGACTAACTCATACCCTATACCAGGGTTTCCCATTTTTTTTTGCCAAGGAACCCTAATTGATTATACTTTTCCTAGAGGAACCCCCGTACTACTCTGCCCGCACGCCCTGCCCCTCCCTTGTGCGTAAACAAGTCGGTGCGAGCGAACGACGTCGGTCACGAAACGTGGGATAACATTTTTTACGGAACCCTTGCGGCCTTTCCACGGAACCCTAGGGTTCCGCGGACCACCATTCGGGAACCGTACCCTATACAGCTATTGGCTGTCATCATGTATGTTGATTTTTTCCATATAATTATATTTGATTTTCATATTTAAACGGTTTTCATTAATAATGCACATTGAGAGACTTCAATAATGAGTATTTGAAATTGGGGCTATCTGAAAAGTTCAAGGTTTATTCAAAGTCAACATACATAATAATGTATAGTTGTTGGTTAGGCAATGTTTGCTGTATAAGCCGAGTCATGGCCAAATAGTTATATTTTAAGAAATCTATTGATAAACACATTAAGGAAACTCGATAAAATAATGCCCAAAACCAGTTAAAGTGGTATTTTTTTTTATTGAAGTTGTATTCTCATCAATCCCTGTGAGGAAGTGTATTTCCTTCAGTGGACGTCCTTTGGACTACATTCAGAAATAGACACGTTGTAAGCTTCGCTGCTGCATTAAGCTAAGCGTCCACATGTCGGTATCGTACGCATCGGACGTATCGCACGCAACGGATCATAGAATTATTTATATAAAAACTCATATAAGTGCGTCCACCTGTCCGCATCGTATGCATCGCACATCCGATACGATGTGTTTCGTACGATGCGTCCGTTGCGTACGATACTGACAAGTGGACGCTTAGCTTTATCCTCTAAGGCAGTGTTTTTCAACCTGTGGGTCGCGACCCCCTGGGGGGTCGCCAAGCTTCTGTAGGGGGGTCACGAGAGGTCGTAAAAACTACCTCAGTAAAAGAATCAGTAAAGTTATAATGATATATTTATCCGAAATCTAATTATACAAATGCATAAATGTTGTATGGATTGAAATTTTGAAATATTCGGTCCCTACAACATCTTTGTAACATTATAAAATGCATGAAAAAAAAAGCGAGCGGTCGGGGGGTCGCGAAATATTTTTTCATACAGGGGGGTCGCGTCATGAAAAAGGTTGAAAAACACTGCTCTAAGGCCTAAGGCACGACATGTTCAACTTTTTCAACTGTTTTCAATCCTATGATAAGTGAATAAGGTTCAATTTAAGGTAGCTATAAAGGGTAAGGAAGTCTGACCTGCAGCTTGAGCTTGTGGAACTCGATGGGGATGATGTACATGATGGGCAGTTCGGTGACCAACACCTTGGGGTGCGAGCGGCGCAGGCAGCCGTCTGTTAGGTCCCAGCGCGCGCCTTCCAAATACAGGCCTCGCACGTAGCAGCCCTGCGTGCAACAACCTCTGTTATGGATCAGGATGTAAGGTTCAACATAGCGTGTACTAACGTGTACGACCCTATATCAGAGTAAATACAAATGAGTGGGTTATCTTCATAGAAACGCACCGAGCGCGGTTTGTATGTGAGCGCACCAATACGTATGCAGCGCGAACGCACAGCGCACACACTGACAAAATTTAACGTGGATTAGCGGGGAGTTGCGCCGAATTTTGTCAGTGTGCGTGCGCGCCGTATACGTATTGGCGCGCTCACATACAAACCGCGCTCGGTGCGTTTCTATGAAGATAACCTACTCATTTGTATTTACTCTGCCTGTTAGCGANATATGGAAGTTATAAGGTTCAAAATAGTGACCACTAACATGTAGGAGCCCTGTATGGAACAAACTCTTATGGATCAAGTTTTAAGGTCCAGCATAGCATGCATTAACACGTAGCAGCTCTGCATGGAACAAACTTTGTTATGGGTCAAGTTATAAGGTTTAATATAGCGTGTACTAACACGCAGTAGCCTTGCATGGATCAACCTCTGATGTGGACCTAGTTATAAGGTCCACAATAGCGTGTACTAACGTGTAGCAGCCTCTATATGGAAGTTACAAGGTTCAAAATAGTGTACACTTGTTCAAAATAGTGACCACTAACATGTAGGAGCCCTGTATGGAACTAACTCTTATGGATCAAGTTTTAAAGGTCCAGCATACGTGCATTAACACGTAGCCGCCCTGCATGGAACAAACTTTGTTACTGGTCAAGTTATAAGTTTCACCATAGCGTGCACTGAAACCTAGCAGCCTTGCATGGGCAAACCTTTGTTATGGATCGGGACTATCTCCGTCTCTCGTTCCCACCGCTACAACTCCTGTGTAGCCAGGATCTACAGCTTGACCGCCGATAAAACCCAACCAGTGAAAGCCAAGTTTGTCCCGGGGGAAAGTGAAACTGTCAGTGGACCCGCAACGAAATTAATCAGAAGAACATAGGAACTTTGTTATGGATCCAGTTATAAGCGCCGGATTTGCGTGCACTAAGTTTCCCTAATCCTGCGCGGAACCTCTATCGGGGGATTTTTAGGGAAACGAATCTAAGCTACAGGTTATTGCCGGATGCAGACCAAGAGCTAAGCTGACTTAGCTCAGCAACCGGGAAAGACAACAAAAGAAAACTTGTAAACTCACAGTGACCGGACGCTCCTCGATGTCGTCCGCGTTAGTCCACTTAGTGACACGTGTGAACTGCGTGGAGCGGTCGAGCGGCCACGTGTAGAGGCGGCACGCGATCTGGATGTGCGCGATGAGGTACGATTCCGGGATGTGAAGCCCTGATAGCCAGATCACGATCGGCTCCTCCATCGTTGCCTGTGATACATATTAAGACGGGTAATTAAGTTCTAAGAGGTATCACAGCGTGCAACCCTTGACAGCTCATAATCATATCGTGAAGATTGTGAAAATACAGGAAAACTTTGGGCGTAGATGTAGCCTTCGTACCTCATAGATTCTCTTTAATGGACCTTCGAAATGAGGAAAAGGGAGTTCTCTTCTCTTCGCACAATCACCCAGTCAATGTACTACTTGGAGCACGGTAAAGTGATACAGCCAACGACCAACAGTTCTGAGCAGCACAGCACAAAGGATGGCTTATGAGTCCAATTGTAGAAAAGAGAGTCCACTTTACACTCACCCAGTCGGTGTACTGCTTGTTACACGCGGTGAAGTAGTCTACTAACTATAGTTGCAGTAGCTATCGAACCATCTATGAGACTATGGGGAGGGAGTCCAGTTTACACTCACCCAGTCGGTGTACTGCTTAGTTCGTGTGGTGAAGTGATCCATCCAGCCGCCCAGCCCCTTGCAAGTAGCGGGTGCGAGGCTCCGCCATACTTGAGGCAGCTGCCCGTTGAACAGGCTGTAGGATACGTTGTCCAGTACCGCGTCCATGCCAATCTCGCCGGCCAAAGCCTTGCGTAGTAAAGATAGCGTGCTACGCATCCGTCCCACGAGGCGATTGAATCTATTCCGTTGGAAAAACATTTTACATTAACAAAAAACGGCCGGATATCTTAGATGACGATAGGTAGCAATTAGATTACTGATCGCAAGAAATAAGAGCGTAGGTACGTTAATTATTGTATTGTACATAGAAGCAGGGAAGTCCCCTAGAACCCAGACACCAATCGATGACGCAAACAAATTAGTTTTTGCCTAGTTAATGTATTCATTTTTTGTCTTGAGTCAATTATAGTCTGCCATTGACACTGCCTATTTACTCTAATCCACTTTAAATAAACAGCGTTTCACTATTGACTTAGTGTAAATGATAAAAGATCATCACATAAAATATACTTCTAGTAATAGGAATGTTTTTTTGTTATTATCCTCAAGTAAAATGTTGTTGATTTCGCTCGAGTTATACGGTAGAAGAATAGAAGTCCTGGGGCTGATTTTGCAATCGTCAGATAACTTTTATTAACTAAAGAATGATTTTGTCATTTTGACATATTTCTCATACTGAAACTGTAAATAATATGCCAAACTTATTCTTCAGTTAAAAGTTATCCAACGATTGAAAAATCAGCCCTAAGTTGCAGGATAACTTCCATTTTGCGTTCGTAAAAGGCGGCAAAGGGGCAGATATGCGAACATCAGGCCTTCAATTCGCCTGGCTAACGAGTCCTGTGGTTGAAGTGATGATGACGAAAGGATTGACCTACTGATGATAAAAATCTAAATATACAATACAACTCAAAGGTGACTGACTGACTGACTGACATAGTGATCTATCAACGCACAGCCCAAACCACTGGACGGATCGGGCTGAAATTTGGCATGCAGGTAGATGTTAAGACGTAGGCATCCGCTAAGAAAGGATTTTATGAAACTCCATCCCTAAAGGGGTAAAACGGGGTCCATGCGCACGAAGTCGCGGGCGGCCGCTAGTAAGTAAATCAATGTCGAACCTCTCAAGCTCCTGCAGCAACACGACGAGCGTGGGCGTGATGTTCATCTCGAACTGCTTGCGCACGCGCCAGATCTCGAACAGCGGCGGCAGCTTGCCCAGCACGTCCACCGCGATCATGTCGATGAAGTCCTCGCGGCTCATCGCGCCGCCCGAGTCGCCTGCCATACAACATTTTTATTATGCGCTGCTTCTTCTCAGCACTGGGCCCATTTATTGTCCCGAAACAGTGGTAGGGTTAATACGGGGACGTGTAAAAGTGCTTTTTAATATTTACTGTTTTTAGAGCTTACAGTCTAAAAAACTCACACTTGGTACTTTTAGCATCGGCGATCAATGATTTAGTCGCTTTTTAGAAGCTGAATGCAGCGACCAACACATTTTACATCGCACACTTAAAAACACCAAACACGGCGATTGAGTCTCTTTTCGGAAGTTCGACGCAGCAACATCGCTAAAAAGCGATCCGATACCGCGTTCAAACGCATGAAGTCGCGAATTCGCGATGCTGCATCGATATAAATCGATGCTAAAAGTAGCATCGCTGCTGTAGTCCTTATACAACTTTATGCCACAACATGGTGAACATTTTCATAATTTTCGACTCAAATGAACAAGTAAGGTCGGAAGGAAAATATGCATGGCAAATATTGGAAACATGTTGAAATTGTTTTTCCACACGTTTGTCATGTCGTGTTTGCCGTATGAAAACACCATTGTCATAACAAGACATAAATATGCCATTATTTCCATTGTTTAATAAGTCAAGTCTAAAACCTGTTCGTAAATAAATATAATAGCAACTTACCAATGACCACGCGAACTAAGCAGCGTGAACAAAATGTTAAGACGTTATAAAAGATAAATAAAACGTAAAGTACTTCAGTGTATTAACCAATTTGGTTACTTACCCTCCTCTTTGGTGACTAAAGCAGCATGAAAAAGTAAATAAAAATAATAATTCGTTCTTATATACCGAATCAAACTGATTAGGTATATAAGAACGAATTACAGACTTATTATGGCATAATTTAAGGTTTTTGTTACTTCCCGCGACCTTCACCAGATAGTATCTACCAAAAAATGTAACAATGATAAATTGTCAAACCAAAGCAGACTTGGAACTTCACTGCTGAACAGTCCATGCACCCTGAAAGTCATAGCCAAAATAGTCACAAAACGTTACTTGTCTGCGGCTGCAATTCGATCAAGTGTCCCCACATCTCGCGCACGGCCTGGCTGAAGTACCCGATCTCAGCGTTAGGATGAAGCCCGAACACTTCTGGCGTATTCGCAAGGGGTAGCACGTCGATGAATTCTGGAAAGAGTCACTTATTTATTACTAGCTTTCCGCCCGCGGCTTCGCCCGCGTGGAATTTTGTCTGTCACAGAAAAACTTGTTTCAAAAACCGGGATAAAAACTATCCTAACTATGTCCTTTCCCGGGACTCAAACTATCTCCCTGCCAAATTTCATCAAAATCGGTTCATTGGTTTAGGCGTGAAAGCGAGACAGACAGAGTTATTTTCGCATTTATAATATTAGTATAGATAAACGAAAAGACCTCAAATTCCAAGACCCTGTCGCTAGCGAACGTTGATGAGTCAATATTTGTCCATTTAACGCAAATTCATGGTAAGTAAGTACTTATTATTGTTTGTCGGATGGATTCTCAGTATCGCGGCGTTTAGCAGTCAAAATTAGACGATAACATCACAAGGATCTACTGTTCTGATAACACATACTAACCTCAGTTACTAGCTCAGTTTCCATTAGACTTTAGAACAGGGGTACAGGGGTCTCTAAACTTTGAAGCCTGGGGGCCATAATAATTTTTTCGGTATGTTACTAGGACCATAAAAAATTTAATTTTTCTGCCCAACTATGCAAACATAGGCTTAGTCTTTAGCCGTCGCGGGCCGGATGATGGCAGTGGCTGGCAGGATATGGCCTGCGGGCCGTAGTTTGGAGACCCCCCTGCTATAAGGTGCACCCAGGTGATTAAGCTCAATCGTATCGGTTCATGGCAGGACCGTATTTATTTACTTTTTTACATACATAGCTCTTAAAAATTACTGGTGGTGTCGTATAGTCATGTTCACCCTGTATTTTTGTATATGTCTTACTTACCTATGTACTGATCTCTCTCGCCGTCCGGCGGGATGACGTAGTCGAAAACCGAGTCCTTGTAGAAATGGAAGGGCTGGAACTTGTCGAACAAAAACTCTCCCATATACTCCTCCATGTAAGTCCGCACCACGCGCCGGTCGAAGTCGTCTATCACTCGGCCGCCGTACATCACCTATGAACCAATTACCATGTGATCACCTCGCAAATTTGAAACGGTGATTTTAGTATTAAAATACAACAAGTTTTAGTATCGGTTCATTATAGAAAAAAATCTACTCCGTGCCAATAAATAAAGTAGGTAAGTTTGCAGCTGTTGTAGATTGTATGAGGCGGTTCTTTTTAACCGACTTCAAAAAAGCAGGAGGTTATATGTTCGGCTGTATGTATGTTTTTTTATTTTCGTGTCGAATTCACACTCAGCCGGTTTTTTTGCTCCATCATTGTCACGCACGGCCGACAACAAAGGATAATGTGAAAAAAAGGATGTTTTCGCATGGCCTTTCGCCAACGTCCATACCGGTATCCTNGTGATCGCCCCGGGTGCCAACCCATGCTACGCCGCCACTGGTCGAACCTCTCAAGCTCCTGCAGCAACACGACGAGCGTGGGCGTGATGTTCATCTCGAACTGCTTGCGCACGCGCCAGATCTCGAACAGCGGCGGCAGCTTGCCCAGCACGTCCACCGCGATCATGTCGATGAAGTCCTCGCGGCTCATCGCGCCGCCCGAGTCGCCTGTCGTATGGAAAAACATTTTTAGAGCCACAGTAGCCGAAATGCATACTGAAGTATAATTTGCGGCGATCTTACACCTAAATGATTGATTTCACAAAAAAAATACCAGAATATCGAAAACAGGAAATTTTCTGTAGTTTAATTTTGTAGGTATTAATCAAAATCTTTTAGGCGCAGTTTTTCCAATATGGCGGCGCCTGCGGCAACGATAGGAGGTCGCAAATTCGGAAAGCGGGAAAGAGTACATAGAAAACTATATAAATACCAATTTTCAAAACTCCCGTAAAACTTTCCAGGCTAAACTACCAAATGACTGGACTAATAGTGAAAATTTTAATTAATTTTCGACCTTATGACAAATGAATACGTAAGGTCGAAGGAAACTTAATGGCAAATAAGTATTTGAAACATGTTAAAATTGTTGTGTCCCTACCACGTTAAGTCATGTCGACTGTCGTCTTTGCGGTATGAAAACACCATTGTCATAACAAGACATATTTGTACCATTAATGAATAAGTCAAGTCTAAAACCTGTTCGTAAATAAATATAATAGCAACTTACCAATGACCACGCGAACTAAGCAGCGTGAACAAAATATCAAGACGTTATTAATAAAAGATAAATAAAAAAAAGCATTTTTAGTTTATTAACCCATTTGATTACTTACCCTCCTCTTTGGTGACTAAAGCAGCATGAAAAGTAAATAAAAATGATAATTCGTTCTTCCGAATCATAGGCATAATTTAAGGTTTTTGTTCTGTCTCTAGTTTTTGTCATTGACCGAAACTGTGGCCGTAGCAATTTGCAATATCATTATGTCAATTATGGGTTCTAACTTGAGACCAAGAGTACCTACTTGGAACATTTCAAACAAGATTTCAAATCGGTCGTTTGAGCCAAAATTGCTAGGCAAAGGCCTCTCCCAAGGATTTCTACAAGGACCGGTCCTGCGCGCCGCTGCCCGCATCCAGGTATTTCCCGCGATTATTACCAGATAGTTCCAAAGAAAAAAATAGTAACAATTATAAATAGTCAAACCAAAGCAGACTTGGAACTTCACTGCTGAACAGTCCATGCACCCTGAAAGTCATAGCCAAAATAAATGAGCCAGAACGTTACTTGTCTGCGGCTGCAATTCGATCAAGTGTCCCCACATCTCGCGCACGGCCTGGCTGAAGTAGCCGATCTCGGCATTGGGATGGAGCCCAAACACTTCTGGAGTATTCGCGAGGGGTAGCACGTCGATGAATTCTGGAAAAAGTCACTTATTTATTACTAGCTTTCCGTTTGTCTTTAAATTTGTCTGTCACAGAAAAACTATCGCGCGCGTCCCTGTTTAAAAACCGGGATAAAAACTATCCTATGTCCTTTCCCGGGACTCAAACTATCTCCCTGCCAAATTTCATCAAAATCGGTTCATTGGTTTAGGCGTGAAAGCGAGACATACAGACAGAGTTACTTTCGCATTAATAATATGTATTAGTATAGATAAACAAAAAGACCTTGTACTTAAGGAAGCAATAAACATATTGAGTATTGAGACCTCAAATTCCAAGACTCAGTCGCCAGCGAACGTTGATGAGTCAATATTTGTTCATTTAACGCAAATTCATGGTAAGTACTTATTATTGTTTGTCAGATGGATTCTCAGTATCGCGGCGTTTAGCAGTCAAAATTAGACGATAACATCACAAGGATCTACTGTTCTGATAACACATACTAACCTCAGTTACTAGCTCAGTTTCCATTAGACTTTAGAACAGGGGTACAGGGGTCTCTAAACTTTGAAGCCTGGGGGCCATAATAAATATTTTTTTCGGTATATTACTAGGACCATAAAATTTTTAATTTTTCTGCCCAACTATGCAAACATAGGCTAAGTCTTAAGCTGTCGCGGGCCGGATTGATGGCAGTGGCTGGCAGGATATGGCCTGCGGGCCGTAGTTTGGAGACCCCCCTGCTGTAAGGATAAGCACCCAGGTGATTAAGCTCAATCGTATCGGTTCATGGCAGAACCGTATTTATTTACTTTTTTACACACATAGCTCTTAAAAAATAAAAAATCTTACTTGCCTATGTACTGATCTCTCTCGCCGTCCGGCGGGATGACGTAATCAAAAACAGAGTCCCGGTAGAAATGGAAGGGCTGGAACTTGTCGAACAAAAACTCTCCCATATACTCCTCCATGTAGGTCCGCACCACGCGCCGGTCGAAGTCGTCTATCACACGGCCGCCATACATCACCTATGAACAAATTCGTCATCATCATCATCATCAACAGCCCTTTACAGTCCACTGCTGGACTATGAGCCTCCTCCACTGTATTGGAGGGTTTTGCCATAATCCCCACGCTTGGCAGGCGGGTTGGAGATCGCAGTTTAAAAGATTGATGTTTTTCAGAGAGCGCTGCTGCCCGTTCTCTGTTTGATGTGTGGACCCTAAGTCGCCTCTTACGACACCCGCGGGAAGAGTAGGGGTTGAATATGAACAATTTACCAAGTGTATAACCTCGAAAATCCGAAACAGGGTGATTTTCGTATTAAAATACAACAAGTTTTATAGTTTAAGTATTATAGAAAAAAACTTCTCCGTGCCAATAAATTAATTGACATATATTGCAGCTGTTGTAAATTGTATGAGGCGGTTCTTTTTTAATGTTGTGTCGGATTCACACTCAGCCGGTTTTCTTTCTCCATCATTGTTACGCACGGCCCACTACAAAGAACAATGGAAACAAAGGATGTTTTTCGCACGCTCTTTCGCCAACGTCCATACCACGTTGAAAACACCGGTTCTCGTCCGATCACCGAAGTTAAGCAACGTCGGGCGCGGTCAGTACTTGGATGGGTGACCGCCTGGGAACACCGCGTGATGTTGGCTTTTTGCTTTTTTATGACATTTGTATTCTTTCTTTCTTCATTTTACATAGATACCATTTTTTTATTTTGTCGTAAGTTTTGGAAAAAATAGTAGATTTGGCAGTATTTTTTACGAACGAATTGAAGCGGTAATCTAGCCACACAATATACCGAAGCCGTTGAGGTACATATTATCGCCTTTATCTTGTTCAGGGGGCTTAGTGCGAGTTTACATCAAACTGCGTAAAAATTACATTAAATGTCATAATTATGTAATACGAGTACGAGCGTTCCTAGCGGATACTTTCATGAACTAAAATCTTCATAGATTTTTTGATGCACTCGCTAGCGACTACTTTCTATGCAAACTCGCACTAAGCACAAAGCACACTGATAATGTAAGCACTCACCTCGCCAAAGAGATACTTGAGCGTAGACCAGGGTATGGGTCCCTTGGCGGCGTGGCAGCGCTCCAGGTAGCATTGCAGGATCTGCATGCTCACCACGAAGTCCGACTCGCTAAAGTCGTACGATATGTTCCAGCCGATCTTGTCGTACTTGCGACGCTCCTGGGAACGATTGTTTCATTGAATATGGTAAATGTTGAATTAAAAGAAAAATACATTTACCTATTCAATACGAGCTAAGGGCCTAATGCCCGTTTTCACCAACAATCACAAATTTTTTAGTGAACCCTTAGTAAATAACCGGAATTTGTTTTCATAGGAATCACTTAAAAATTAGGGCTTGATGGTGAAAACTGGCATAAGACACTTATTTAACACGTAACAGTAGCGCAAGAAAACATGAAAGGAGATGGCAAATAAGTGACTTCACACGTTCTTATAGCTCTACAAAAGCTATTTAGGAATCGTGTATTGGCAGTTTATTATGTGTAGCGACTCAGAAATCAGAAACCATCTGTCTACAGAAATTACTTTTATGAGCTGTAAATGTTTCTTTTTGAATTTGTATGGCAATAATGATGTCATTCCTAGCTTCTGTTTTTCAAAGTTGAGCAACCGAAGTGTTATTGACAAAGTGGCGAATAAACGGAAATGATCCGCTTTTCATACAATATTCAAAATCACCATGCCATGATCATAAATATTGAGAATAACATCAGATATCTATGACGTATTACTTCGTGATTCTGCTGTCCTTCTAACACTGTTTCTATCATGGATTTTTTTATAGTCACCTGCACGACGGCGTGGAAGAAAGCCAGCACGTATACAAGCTTCTTGTAGGCGGGGTGAGGGCATTCTTCAAGCGCGTGAGTTCGCATCTTGAAGTACGTGTTGCGAAGGTTGAGCTTCAAACCGTTCGGAGGCTCCGTCACCACTAAACAAAACAAAAATGTTTTAATAAATAGTAAAAATATAAAGGATGTCGAAGTAAAAAGCCAACATCACGCGGTGTTCCCAGGCGGTCACCCATCCAAGTACTGACCGCGCCCGACGTTGCTTAACTTCGGTGATCGGACGAGAACCGGTGTTTTCAACGTGGTATGGACGTTGGCGATAGACGAAGTAAAATAAAGGAAGAATATTGAGGGCGTAGCACGGTGGGCTGATATTAGAGCTTCATAAGTTCATAGACTTAGCATCGCTCAAAAATCAAGTGTCTAATTTTGGAAAAATAAATATGCCAATGTGTTCCTTTACCAAAAAGGAATATTGTATGTTATGTAACGTTTCTTGATAAAGTTATTATTTAATAAGTTATTGACAATTTCCTTTTTTTTGTATGGAGCTCAACATTTATTTTTATTTTATTCGTTATTCTTAAGCTTTCTTAAGAAATTGACTTTTGTATTATGTAATGCAACATATAAGCTATGTTATCCCCAAGTGTCGCATTTCGGAAATCTTCGGAACATTGTCATTTTGGACTTTAAAATAAAAAAAATAAAAAATTTAAATAACTGCCAAATTTTGTGAAAATAACTACGCCAATGTGTTCCTTGGCCAAAAAGAAATATTTTATGTTATGTAACTTTTCTTGATATCGTTATTATTTAAAAAGTTATGGACAATAATTACTTTTTTTTGTATGAAGCTCAACATTTATTTTTATTTTATTCGTTATTCTTAAGCTTTCTTAAAAAAATGTTTTTTTTTATTATGTAGGTAATGCATCATATTATAAGCTTTATTATCACCAAGGGACGAATCCCGGAAACCCNTCTCGTCCGATCACCGAAGTTAAGCAACGTCGGGCGCGGTCAGTACTTGGATGGGTGACCGCCTGGGAACACCGCGTGATGCTGGCTTTTTGCATCTTGTTATTATGACATTAGTATTCTTTACTTCACATAATTATTAAGAGACCAATAATTAATTTATCCTTTTTGTTTAGTTGCATCTTTTTTTTCGCCTAATTGACGCGGCAGTCTGGCGGCCGAAGTTTGTGATTAAGGCGATTAGAGTCCTCAATGACCTTGGGCGTTTGACCTTCACGCCGCGCGAAACACCCGCGCACCCCGCACGAAAACTCCGATTTGACACCGATCAAAATTACACGGGCATAAGTAGATACAGAATAGAAGCTCTTTTTTCATGACATTACTGCCTATTATTTTATACTTGAATTGATGAACCTTGATGTCGGTGTCATTTAATTCAGGCGTAAAGGTATTTAATAAAAATAACACAATCCATGAACATTTTGTACGGGATATTTTTTTTTATTTTTTCGTAAATTTTCTGTTTTTGTCGGTTCAGCCGTTCTCGAAATTTGAACATGTAATATGTAGGTAACTTCGGGTGGAATCTTGCAAGCTGAATTTGTTAGACCAACTTCCTGACGACAACTGTAGGTATTGGAACACATAGTAGTATTGTCTATGGTTTGGGTGAATATCCCAAGCACGTTTTTTACGCGGCGGAGCTGAGAATCGATGGGAGAAATCTAACTAGAGCACTTCTGTGTATAGTTTAAACAGCGTTTTACACGACAGCAAAGTCTTCAGGAAAATAGGTAGTTATTTTATGTGCTGAAAACATTTTCAAAGACCCAAAATCTAATAGCGGTGGCGTGTCCTGACTCTATTTCTACTCATAAATTGTGTTATTCCTTCTTTCTCGGGGATTCTAGTAATTTAAGAATAATATAGTCATAAAATACATTAAATAAGACTTCCAAATGATATGAAAGAAATGTCATATTTCATTATTTAAGTTTTTTAAATAGCCTTTCAAAAATGTCCCACGAGAAAAAGCAATTACAGTGGCTCAATTTCGACACTCTCTTACTTCTCCAAAGAAGCTTTGAGAGACGTAGAGTTCTTCTTCCCTGCATTACTCAGCTGTGTCCTCCTGATCGGGCTATAAAGACTTGCGACTTGTGGTATTGTTTTTCCAGTAGACACGAAAATATCTGTATCAGCGGCACAGGAATACAAAATTTTTCAATTCCGCTGACAAGTGTATGAGTGAAAACTACTTAGGTACTTAGATGCTAAACGATTGTTTTACATGATTAAAGTTTGGTATTTTGTTGTATCTGCATACAGAAATTATTGATCAGAATTATAGTTTTCTTAATAATTTGAATTTTGTAACAGTTTTTTAATTTCGGTGGCGCAATTTCGGTGGCTCCGGTGGCGAATCTATTGCCAGAATTGGTCTTATTGGCTCTGGAGCATTGTACCTAGGTCTACTAAGGTCTCAGCCATAACTACAATATCGTCAGTGAGTCGAAGTTGTGTGATGTACTCGCCGTAGCTCGCTCTAGCTCAGAAGCTTGAAAACCTCTAAGTGGAGGCAGTGAAGACTTTACGAGATTATGGTGTCTCCCTCTCTGAACCCTCGCAGCAACCAGATAAGTTTCGAGTTCTGATCTTGGAGGAGGGCTGATATGATGAAGTTTTCATACAAATACTTCAGAAGTTGCAGTCAATTTGGCGCCATTAAAGAGACTGTAGCACAGCCCAGGTCTTGACTGAATCGAAGAAGGTTTTCTTATAGTACAAAAAGGCCAATAATAATGACTGATTATAGTCTTCAGTCTTCTGCATAATTTGACGCAGCATTAAATATGTACGTATTATTACGAACGTCTTTTCGAAAATGAGGTTGTCTGGGAGACTGGATGTTGGATAACGAGACAGTCAGTCACAAGGTCTATTGAGTACCTATTGAGTCTACTAAAGGCATGAAATAAATTAATTTTCACCAAAAATTAAAACCAACTCCAAAACGAATCACCAAAAGGAAGGCTGTCAACGACTCCGAAAATATCAATCATGATATACGGGCATTTTTAATCAGTATCCACATTTTTTAATAAGCTCTATAGAACAATTTATCAATACCACTTTATCTTTTTTTTTTTCGCCGCCGAGTATGAAAAATATAAATAGTTTTCTTCACGTAAATCGATTAAGTTACTGATTCTGACTCGCTCCTAATTTGGATACTGATTGCAAAGGCCTAGTAAATAAATAACGGAATATATTTTCAACTTTTACTTATCTAGTGCCGTTTTTTTGGAGTCGATTTTTTTTACACTAATAGATTCTATTTGGGTAGATAATAGCGTCCAAGCATGCCTTAATTCAATCGTATCGNGGAAACCCTCGGAACATTGTCATTTTCGACTTTAAAATAAAAAAACGAAAAAGAAAACTGCAATGTTATGTACTTTCTTCCGTACTACCCTAACGAGGTGGTGTAGTACTTTCTGATTGGAAGTAAATATTTTTTCCGTGAGCAATAATTTTGTATGCTTGCAGGCATATACGTATGTAGAGCTCCATGTACGTAGTATAGTTTGGTCTGCGAAACAAAATTTGCGAAAATAATGATTCTAGTGTTTTAGGGCAACTTGTAAGTGCCCAAATGAACGTTCAGTTTGATGTCTCCAGATAAAATGGATAAGGGAAAATAAGGTTTCTAGCTCCACTTTTTACTATCGACTCATTTCTTTTTCAAATTTATGAAGGAGACCCATTTTTTTTTTATTCAAAATAAGCTGCATTTAATTATTGTCGACCTATTTTAATGTTATCAATGAAAAAAACTTAATGGACGCGGAAATTGAAAATTTAATAGATCGTAATTCTGGAAGCAAAACAATCTCGTAATAACTGATTCTCACTTGATAGATAGAAAAATAATATCGTTGATAAATGGCAGCTCTACAAAAGCAGCGATTTAATATTTGTAACGCCATATCAAAATAAATGAATAATTTAGACGTAATTGCCTTCAAGAAAGGTTTTAACACCACCAAAAAGTCCACTATAAATGATCAATTGTATGTCTAGGTTGATACTGAGATAGAAAGCTTTACTTTTGTAGATTCAGAAAGTGGCTCTTGAGTCTAACCAATAAACTTAACTTCAAACTGGCTTAATTTCCATAAAACAAATATTATAATTTAGCACAGAATAATAATAAGTACTACGTACAGAAGTTTTACTTCGCGAAAGTATTTAAAAAAATGTATGCTCAATGTCATTAACAATATGGTGTAATTTAGCCTGTCTCAAGAGTCAAGCACCATTTTGTTGACAAACGTCAGTGATCGGCACTGCGCCGAAGCTATAGGGCTGACTTCGGTAAAATGATGTGACGTGAGGTGCCAAACTGCGGTAAATGGCGGAGGAAATACATGATTTAGCATGAATTATCATGAATAATAGTAACTACTTATTTACCTCTCAGTGTCTTGAGGCAACTTAAAAAAGGCGGTGTGCCACAGCCGGTACTCGGGGCGGGCTTCTCCATGAGCTCCAGCTGCTTCTCCAGCTGTTACTGTTATTGTTAACCTTTCAGCGAGCTTTGCAGGATGCCGATGGGGAAGGTGGGCGTGGGGTCGGTAGTAAGCCACAGCCAGTACTCGGGGCGCGGCTTCTCCATGAGCTCCAGCTGCTTCTCCAGCTGTTACTGTTATTGTTAACCTTTCAGCGAGCGCTGCAGGATGCCGATGGGGAAGGCGGGCGTGGGGTCCTTGGTGAGCCACAGCCGGTAGTCGGGGTGCGGCTTCTCCATGAGCTCTAGTTGCTTCTCCAGCTGTTATTTCCCCGTCTGAAGGCCAGCGGCCGACTGCCGCCCGCACCCCGCGAAGGCCCCCTCAACAGCAAAACGTTCGGAATTTATCAAAAGTAAAATTTATGAATGAAAGTAATGTTCGATTGAAAAACGCAACGTGTCATTTAAAGATTAAAGAATTCCTAATCTATTCGTGCAAAAATCTTTTAAATTAACATAGCCGTTTTAGAGGAGTAGGGAATTTAAGTAAAAAATCGATGTCCCGTATTTATTTTTTTAATCCAAAACAAAGAGACGTAGCGAAAATTCAAACGTCACAAATGTAGTCCTTGAATTGTTGTATAACATATATTTTTTTCAACTATTTCTGTCCAGCAGTAAAAGAGGAGTAGGCTTTACAAAATGCCCATTTGACGCGGATTGAGGACTCTAATCGCCTTAAAACTTACCTCCCCGAAGAGATACTTGAGCGTGGACCAGGGTATGGGTCCTTTGGCGGCGTGGCAGCGCTCCAGGTAGCACTGCAGAATCTGCATGCTCACCACGAAGTCCGACTCGCTGAAGTCGTACGATATGTTCCAGCCGATCTTGTCGTACTTGCGACGCTCCTGTTGATTCAACAAGAATTATTTTGAACGAAAGAGATTTATTACAATCAGAAATAACAAAGCAAAGATAATAAAATTAACAAATGACAGTAGCTATAGGTCTAGCGCTTAACTCGGTCAGTGCCTGAGGCATGGGAGTGGCACGGGAGGGATGATTTTGACATTATAACGTGATATAGCATACAAATCTGTGTGGGTCTAGACAAAGTGCATTTTGAAATCGCAACCAGTCGAAAAATGGTCGAAAGGCCTTTTTTGTATAGTTATGACGGATTAGATTTTCGATTCGATCAAAAAGTGCCACTTGTCTAGGGGGGCTGAAGTCTCGCTGACATTTGACGTAACAAAGAACACCCTCCCGTGCCGCTCCCATACCTCAGGCAGTGACTGTTATACGCTAGACCTATAGTTGAAGGATGGGAGACGATAAATAAGTGACGTCACAAGTTCTAATTGCACGGACGACAGTGCACATCAGCCTAAACACAGTAGCATCAAGTAGGTAGGTATTAGGTGCTATTTTGCAACACTTAAATGTATAGTCTGGTGTGCTGTTAGTTAACTGCACATACGCTGATACGCCACTCATAATTTTCTTTCGTCACCTGCACGACAGCGTGGAAGAAGGCCAGCACGTATACAAGCTTCTTGTAGGCAGGGTGAGGACACTCTTCCAAAGCATGTGTCCGCATCTTGAAGTAAGTGTTGCGAAGGTTGAGCTTCAAACCGTTCGGAGGCTCCGTCACCACTAAACAAAACAATAATGTTTTAATAAATATAAAAATATGAATATCGAAGCAAAAAGCCAACATCACGCGGTGTTCCCAGGCGGTCACCCATCCAAGTACTGACCGCGCCCGACGTAGCTTAACTTCGGTGATCGGACGAGAACCGGTGTTTTCAACGTGGTATGGACGTTGGCGACAGATGAGGTAAAATAAAGAATATGAAGATCGTGGGCGTAGACTCCGAGAGGGTGGTGGGGGAGTACTTATTATTAGATTTACCGCTTACCTTAGTGCCTAAGGCATAGGAGCGGCACGAGAGGGAGTTTTGTAACGTCAAAATTCAGCATGAGTCTGAACTCACGCTAAATTTTGACGTGGATCTGAATCCACTCCAGATTTATGTACCTACTGTCTACGTCATAATATGACAATGTTACCCTTCCCGTGCCGCTCCCATACCTCCGGCACTGGCTGAGTTAAGGGCTAGACGTATAACCTTTCAGCGAGCGCTGCAGAATGTCGATGGGGAAGGTAGGCGTGTGGTCGGTGGTGAGCCACAGTCGCCGGTACTCGGGGTGCGGCTTCTCCATGAGCTCCAGCTGCTTCTCCAGCTGTTATTGTTAACCTTTCAGCGAGCGCTGCAGGATGCCGATGGGGAAGGTGGGCGTGGGGTCGGTGGTGAGCCACAGCCGGTACTCGGGCTGCGGCTTCTCCATGAGCTCTAGTTGCTTCTCTAGCTGTTATTGTAACTGTTAACCTTTCAGCGAGCGCTGCAGGATGCCGATGGGGAAGGTGGGCGTGGGGTCGGTGGTGAGCCACAGCCGGTACTCGGGGTGCGGCTTCTCCATGAGCTCCAGTTGCTTCTCCAGCTGTTATTGTTATTGTTAACCTTTCAGCGAGCGCTGCAGGATGCCGATGGGGAAGGTGGGCGTGGGGTCGGTGGTGAGCCACAGCCGGTACTCGGGTGCGGCTTCTCCATGAGCTCCAGCTGTTACTGTTATTGTTAACCTATCAGCGAGCGCTGCAGGATGCCAATGGGAAAGGTGGGCGTGGGGTCGGTGGTGAGCCACAGCCGGTACTCGAGGTGCAGTTTCTCCAGGAGCTCCAGCTGCTTCTCCAGCTGTTACTGTTATTGTTCACCTTTCAGCGAGCGCTGCAGGATGCCGATGGGGAAGGTGGGCGTGGGGTCAGTGGTGAGCCACAGCCGGTACTCGGGGTGCGGCTTCTCCATGAGCTCTAGTTGCTTCTCCAGCTCGCGCAGGAAGGACACCAGCAGGTGGCAGTTCTGAAGGATCAGCCACTGGCCGTGGGAGATGGCGCCCTCAAGCAGGGCTAAGGCAGCCTGGGGACCAAACGTAAGAATAAGGCCTCCAGCGCACTAGACTGCTACAGCCTGGCTGCCTAGTGCGCGTGGTGGCTAAGGATTTATCCATAATATTCATTACATTATTTTTTGTATTGTGTCTTTTTTTACTGTGTCAATAAACCTTTTCTATTCTATTTCTCATTATGCAATTAGTTTAATAAAATGTCAAGTCAGTGCTATAAAACCCATGATACTTTTAATGCCCGGTGGTTGTAATTGCACAGATTTGAACCATGGAAATGTTATTGGACGGCTGCTTGACTATTTTTGTGGATGCAATTTGCGATTCGGATTCTGCCTGGGTGCAAAACGTGCTACTTATGAAGTATGACATCAGTAGCTATTTTCAAATATCAATATGACCTTGTTCAAATATTCTTGTTAACATTCCGATCCGAGTGTATTATTTTCGTAAACTCAATAACAACTACCGAAAAAACCTGCTTACGTAAGTTAAGTACTCTATTAACAAATTATATTCAAAATAAATTGTATATGAATGTATTTGATGATAAAATTATGTAATTAAATAACGTGTTTATCAAATCTAAACAAGTGAAACTTGTTGATACAGGTGCACTGGTTATTTGCACAGCTAAGTATGCGCAGGGTCGAAAGCAACGTCAGTTATCAATGAGTGGGCAAGTGGGTATCCATTCAACCGGGAAATAATATGTAAAAATACATTATTTAACGGAATTTTTACACAATGACTGACGCAAAACTACCAATTTAAATTATAAATAAATATGTTCCACTTTTGTCATACTAAGATTGAAAAACATTCAATATGAAATAATATGCGTCATCGTTTTGATATTCCATCAGTTTTAGCAATTGGCTTGGCTGTGAATCAATTCAGCTGTAACTCAATTTAGGTATTTAACGGGCGCCTAGATATTCAGGCATGACTCGCATATTGCATAATGAGTTTGTTCATTGTTTTGACAATAGGTATCCTTACGTTTTTGACTCTGTTCGATTCCATCACTACGCAACTTTTTTTATTCGACTCACCACCTCCTGCCCCTTCCCTAGCGAGAGATACTTGAACTTCCCGCCGCCAAAGCGGCCACGGTCGGCCAGCTTCATCAGGTCGGCCGTCGGGTCGGAGCCGGGGCTTAGGATGACACTACTTGGGGGACAATANTTTTATGCAAATTGACGTTTCTTCGCCTTTTTATAAGCTTAAGAAGTTGGAGCGCTAACCTTACGGTGAGAGCAACATTTTCACGCCGCACGGCTGTTTTTGGCTCTCTGAGAGTTTGAAGCTTCGTACTGCTCTCATTTTTGGCGCCACAATGTTGGTACTTGGTTTTTTAGATAGCTTAAATAATAGAGTTTTTATAGTAATAAAGAATTTTTATAAATAATATTCCATTTGCTTATTATTTGAGCTAGAAAAAAAACTTACGAACTTACGTACTATCACGAACTAGTAGCCGTTTACCTTAGGTATTTAACGGCGCCTAGATATTCAAGCATGACTCGTATGTTGTATTATTCAGTTTGTTCATTGTTTTGATAATAGGAATCCTTACTTATTGGCTCTCTTCGATTCTATCACTAAGTACACTGGCAACTTTTTTCACCTCCTGCCCCTGTCCTAGCGAGAGATACTTGAACTTCCCGCCGCCGAAGCCGCAGCGGTCGGCCAGCTTCATCAGGTCGGCCGTCGGGTCGGAGTCGGGGCTTAGGATGATAATACTTGGGGATTTCTTAGAATGACAATATGACACTACTTGGGGTCCTTATATTTTATTTATTGACAAAGATCTACCAACAACACAACTTTACATAAACAAGTAATGCATGCAATGATGCTTATGTCACTCACCCCCTCCTGCCCCTGCCCTAGCGAGAGATACTTGAATTTCCCGCCGCCGAAGCCGCAGCGGTCGGCCAGCTTCATCAGGTCGGCGGTCGGGTCGGAGCCGGGGCTTAGGATGACAATATGACATTACTTGGGGTCCTTATGTCACTCACCCCCTTCTGCTCCTATCCCAGCGAGTGGTATTTGAACTTCCCGCCGCCAAAGCCGCAACGGTCGGCCGTCGGGTCGGAGCCGGGGCTTAGGATGACAATATGACACTACTCGGGGTTCCTATGTCACTCACCCCCTCCTGCCCCTGTCCCAGCGACAGATACTTGAACTTCCCGCCACCGAAGCCGCAGCGGTCGGCCAGCTTCACCAGGTCGGCTGTCGGGTCGGAGCCGGGGCTTAGGATGAACACCACCGGGGTATACGGCGTGGTCTGCTCCACTATCATGTCCAAGCTGGAAGGAAACTTGGTGTTATGAGGAAGTTATTAACACATTAAAGTTGCAAAAGAGGTCCGAGTCGATGACAATAAAAGTAAAAAAAAATCTAAGTAATAATATCACTTTCGAATTTATGTTTTATTTTGCAAATGCAAAAAGCCAACATCACGCGGTGTTCCCAGGCGGTCACCCATCCAAGTACTGACCGCGCCCGACGTTGCTTAACTTCGGTGATCGGACGAGAACCGGTGTTTTCAACGTGGTATGGACGTTGTCGAATGAGTAATCGAAATAAGCGTACAGTAGGTATACGATTTTCAGATTTTGGTAGAATAGTGAAACGTCATGTACATGTATAACAATTTTGTTTTATTGTCATAAATAATAATCAGATTATACACTGTAAACAAAAACACGTAAAAGTTGTGATAAAAATAGTTTCATCTTAGTAGTAGCGCCATCTACCATCATTGTATTTATTACACGCATACCGCTATAACGTTACTTACATTACATGTACATTTACACTTAAAATGGTGAGTAGTTTATACACTACACTAGATGGATACAAATAATATGTATTATTTAAAAAGTATAATGATTTTAGTTTGGTTTATTTTGCGAGAGATGGATAGATCTTTCTTTACACAAAACTAGTAAATGCACACTACACAAGACTAATAAATGTATGAAATTTATTTAATTATTATTAAATATTTAGCCCATTGTAAAGCACTTTCATGTGAAAACATCAACGCTGCCTATTGTTTTCTCACAAATTAACTTTTGCTATCCACAACGTATTGCGTGCGCATATTTCGCTCATCTACTCGCCAACGTCCATACCACGTTGAAAACACCGGTTCTCGTCCGATCACCGAAGTTAAGCAACGTCGGGCGCGGTCAGTACTTGGATGGGTGACCGCCTGGGAACACCGCGTGACGTTGGCTTTTTGCATTTTTGATGCCATTCGTATTCATACTATTCATTCTTTCTTTACATAGAGACCGATCTTGTTTTGTTTTATTAATATTAGGATCGCACTTTAACATCATGCTTTTTATAGTGCTAATTTGAACTCTATTCTCAAGAGGTACCGACCTGATGACGGGCGGCGTGATGTACTCCTCGCCCATGGTGACGGTGATGTAGTCTGTGAGCGCGCGGTAGATGCGGTCGCCGCGCAAGCATCAGGCCTCAAAGACCCCGGGGGGTCGCGGCAGGCCTGTTGGACCACCGACCTGATGACGGGCGGCGTGATGTACTCCTCCCCCATGGTGACGGTGATGTAGTCTGTGAGCGCGCGGTATATGCGGTCGCCGCGCAAGTATCAGGCCTCGAAGGCCNACCCTTTTCATGCGATTAATTAATGATATTAAAATGTATTATGTAGAATCGCTTTGCCATTGACAGATACATCTGATGACAGAGCTAACATTATTTCTACTTTTGACCACCATGAGCGCTGCGATAGATTATGTCCCCCCCACCTAGTACTTCGCACCCAGCGAATACACTGTAAACAAAAACACGTAATAAAAGTTGTGATAAAAATAGTTTCATCTTAGTAGTAGCGCCATCTACCATCACGATAGAAGAATAGCTTGTATTTATTACACGCATAACGTTACTTACATGTACATTTACACTTAAAATGGTGAGTAGTTCATACACTCTACACTAGATGGATAAAAATAATATGAATTATTTAAAAAATATAATGAGCCTGACCAGGAACATAAAAACCCTCGCCATGTTGCGGAAAACTAATGGTACTAATTTCTTTTAATGGCAACAGTAACTGAAAACTTCATTGTCATGTCACCTTGCATGTCAGTCTATTGCTGTCAAAGTGTAAACAAACTTTATTTTAAATGTGCGCAATTGATTTTGTGAATTAAATTGCTAAAATCTTTTTATAGTCGTGAAAGAAAAGTGGTTTACAATGTGTTAAAGTATTTGTTGAAGAGAAATACTAAGGGTTCGGACAATATTTTCATTGAATAATGTTTCCGACAAAGGTTGTCAAATTGACTGACATGTTTATCGCATAGTACAGTCTAGAGATGAAACGGATATCCGGTAACTATCCGGTAGGCCGGATATCCGGCCTAAATTTACTATCCGGCCGGATACCGGATAATAACTCACTATCCGGCCGGATACCGGATATTAAAAAACTACGACAATTTCCTATTAATAAAATGAAATACATTAATCTGTGAGGCAAATATCAATAAAATGGCTTATAATAATGATGGCTTTTATTTAAAGTCCAAAAAGTTCCAAAAAAGCCATATTAAGGCCTTTCAAAAAACTAATTTCTTTTTCTGGGCTGTTCACTCTAATGACGAACACATAAATTAGTAAATATCTGTTAATGTCGAACGAAATATTGCCAAATAAAAAAGCCATCTTTTTTCATTGATGGTCTGATGACATGATGCATGCAGTTCAGTCAGATTACGCAACAAGTAAACTAATTTAATTTTCGCTATTCAATCACACACTCACTATAGCAACCGAAATCAGCCGAATTGATCTGCTCCTAAGACAAGTGGCAAAATCTGACATTCTATTCGGACGGATTCGATTTTTGAAAAGTGTGACTAGTTTAGTCTACTAATAGACCCACTGATCGCGATCGAAGCACCTGTGCGGCGCTAAACTCGTTACGATATGCAACGAGACAATGGGCCAACTATCCGGCCGCCGGATATCCGACTATCCGGCCTAGCAGCTGGCCGGATATCCGGTATCCGGTATCCGGCCAAACAACTATCCGTTTCATCTCTAGTACAGTCCACTATGAAAATTAGCTGTGGTTTGTTTCAACTACCTATTTTAAAAATTTTTGTCACTTTTTAAGTGTTGAATTTTATGGAATTGGGAAAGAAGTACCGAGTTTGAAGCGTTCATGAGCAAACATTGCAGTTGAGTATTCAAGTTCTGACTTTGATTATTGATGAATAATAAAATAAATCCTNGAGCGCGCGGTAAATACGGTCGACGCGGAAACATCGGAGTAGCATCAGGATCTCGAAGGGCTGCAGAATGTCCCGGTAGTTGTTCGGGATTTCCGCAGACTCTGGGGTGTCGCTGTCGAACCACTGTGGAATAAAGAGTAATTAAGTACACTTTGTTAATAGACTTTGGTAATCTTGTTATCTAAGAACATTACACATACATTTCCACCAAACTCAATTTGTACATTAATTTCTTTTCACTAGTAAGATCGTCGTTCTGTCTCCTTCCTAAAGTTGCTGTGCCCTAACTGGGTCCACACTGTATAACTGCCTAAATTGTAAGATCTATAAATGTAAATGCTAATGTGGTTATGCAATAAAAGTATTGAGTATTGAGTATTGAACGACGAGATGGTCGGACGCGGTGAGGAGGACGGTGGGCGGGAGTTTGCATCGTGCGGTCCACGCAGCTTATGACCGCAGTATGTGGAGGAACACTATCTGGGGTCGCGATCCTCATCAGTGAGGGACCGAGGAAGAGGAAGAAGAAGTTATCTAAGAGGTCGACTTATCACTAAATATGTTATAACAATAGGCCTAGACTGCATCCCACTTGACACTAAAGGGCCTAGAGTGAGTATACATCAAACGCGCTCACTATAGTCTTTTTCACCTAAGATGATCCGTATGACACTTCAAAGTTATCCATATTACGCATACTACATATGCAGAATATTTTTGAAAAAATATTTGTATTTCATTAGCAATATAATAAAAAAGAAATAACTTACTTTTCTTGAAATATATAGTAAAATCTGAGTCTTTTGATTATATTTTAATTAAATACGATGTAAAAATATTTTTTATTTAATGTACGCAATATGTGAAACGGAATAGATTTAGTGCTGGGGTATTTGTTGTATAACAAAATCGATTATTTTCGCGGTTCATTAATCGATTGCAGTGAATACTTAGTTATTAAAAACATCACAAAAATCAACTATATTTTTCGATTGTTGATTTTAATAAACGCATTGAAAATATATTAATAGTTTTTAATTTAAATAAATAGAACCAGTACTTTTTAGGAATCGTTTTTTTTAACACGAAGTCCATGGAATTTGAATATTATCAATAAAAATTGTTACAAAAATATTTGTAATTAAAAAAAACATGTTTTTTTGTTAAATGACACCTATACAAAATATTTCTCTAAAAGTAGGTTTTACTAACTCTTAGAAAAAAATCGATAGATAAATCGCTATGGTTTAGTTATGTGACATCTCTATAACTTTCAAATTCGAAACGTCATACGGATCATCTTACGTGAAAAAGACTATAGTAAGCGCGTCAAATAACTTTAAAAAAAAAACCGACTTCAATGCGTGAACACAAAAAAAAACTAAAAATTAAAAATATTGCGTATAAAAAAGATCATCCCCAATTTTCCACCCTTGGGGGTGAAATATTTTCTTCAAATTCGCNCTAACTAGCGGCCGCCCGCGACTTCGTACGCGTAGATCCCGTTTTACCCCCTTAGGGGCAGAGTTTTGTAAAGTCCTTTATTAGCGGATGTCTACGTCATAACATCTACCTGCATGCCAAATTTCAGCCCGATCCTCCAGTGGTTTGGGCTGTGCATTGATAGATCACTAAGTATGTCAGTCAGTCAATCAGTCGGTCAGTCACCTTTGTTTATTATTTATTTAGATTTCAACTCTATTCTCAAGAGGTACCGACCTGATGACGGGCGGCGTGATGTAGTCTGTGAGCGCGCGGTAGATGCGGTCGACGCGCAAGCATCAGGCCTCGAAGGCCGCAGGGGGTCGNGTTCCTGGTCAGGCTATAGTTTGTTTATTTTGCGAGAGATGTATAGATCTTTCTTTACACAAAACTAGTAAATGCACACTACACAAGACTAATAAATGTATGAAATTTATTTCATTATTATTAAAATTTAGCCCATTGTAAAGCACTTTCATGTGTAAACATCAACGCTGCAAAATAACTTTTGCTATCCACAACGTATTGCGTGCGCATATTTCGCT